CTTCATCAGTAGTTTGAACCCTTCATTTAGCCTTGGATGATACACCCTGAAATTCCTGCAGCCCCTCAAGACCCAGGCAGCACCCCCTGTGCTCGGAGGATGTTATTATAAGAGTCTGGCGGGTGCGGTGGGGCCTATAGGGTGCCTCAGAGGTGGTGTTTGCACCAAGAATGCCACGTCTAAATGAGGACACTGCCACCTTTTACTTGATCAAGTTGGTTCCTTAATCTGTTAATCATATACCAACATTGATATTTATACAGTATCTTCTGTGTCAACTCAGACAAAGTAGAAAGGGGAAAAAAAGTTATGGTGTCCTAATCAGCAAGGAAGAGCACATAGAATATCTCCGTAGGTAACTGTAGTTTTGAACTCTACTTGTGTGACTTTGGATAGTACCCCGTTCTCTAGGTGATGGGAGACAGAGGGCGTCCTACATAAGTCACTGGACTAGGGGTCAGATGAGATTTTCTTGTCCTAGCTCTGTTATTTTCTGGATAGGGGACCTTGGAAAAGTCATTGCAGCTTTCAGGATCTTCATCACATAAGGAGTTAATAACTGATCATTTGACATGTGATGATACTTCTGGAATTGTACAGTGCACAGCCCAAATAGCAATACATGTCAACCCTGTACCTACCTTCCAAGGTTAAATTGAGAATTCAATGAAACAAAGTATGGAAATTATGTACAGCACTAGGATAGATTCAGTACTTACTAGAAATTGGCTCCCTTCCCCTTCTCTCACTTGAGGTACGTCCCCGTGGTGCAGGATTTGGGATAAATATCCAGCTCTGGGTTTTGGCTACTTGGTTTCTCTACTGTAAAACTTACATGCAGTGGGGTTTATTTAGGTCCATTTTGTTATCTCAGGATAACAAAGAGGATCTTTTCTAGATATGGGAAAGTAATTGAGGTGTGACCATAACAACAGGCCTTACTGGATGCTGACAGCAGGAATTAAAACCCAGGGGGTGTCATCAAAACCTAACTTGAAGCACCCACCCTTAAAGAGCTTACTGGAAAACCTTCTCTTTGTTTTGATTTACTAGTTTTCTGGCAAATGGAGAAACAGAGGTGTAGGGAACAGCTACAACATAAAAGGTGCCCAACATGTGTGGGACCTGAATTCCCAGGATCCCTTGTGCTACTGCATTAGGGAGAGCTCAGGCCAGTGCATGGGAAGCAAGATCCAGAAAGGTGAAGCAACGTGGCCATGGTCAAGCAGCTGATAAACAGCAGTGTTGGGGGAAGAAAAATGCCACAGAAGGACCTGAAGCTGCTACCAAGACTGAAGGAGGGGAAGGGAGGCAACAGGTTTGGTTTGTTTCTCTTCAGTTCATGGGGCTGCCTCCCACTGTGGCTGGTTCCCATCCATTTCCATCCTCTACTACCTGTGTGGATGTGCATGCACATTCACACATTTACATACACAACACATGTAAGGATGTAGAAAGCTCTGAAATCGGCCCTGGAACACCTGGATTCAGTCCTGGGTCACTACACTTGTGATCTGAGGCCTTTGGGTCTCAGTTTACTCATCTGTGAAATGGGCTGCTTGATGCCTGCCTTGCTCTCTCTTAGGTAGTAAAGTACACAAATCCAGATGAGCCACCCCCACAGTCCACACTGATCCAGCACCCCCATCACCAGCAGAAAAATCTGGGAGGTCAGGCACATGACCTTGCAGAGAATGCATGAGTGCCTTTCTGCACGCAGCCCTGGGCAGGGCCTGTTTCCCTTTCAGCTCAGTGAATGGTGGAAGCTCATGGAAAACAGCAGACAAAGCAGCCCTGGGGATAGGGGAGCTTCCAGAGAGGCCCACAACTGAGCCACAGGGACACTGGGGCTGGAAACCAAAAGTCACTGGGCTCTGTAAGCCCACTAGGCACAGCAGAGGCAGAAGGGATGACGAGCAGCAGGCGAGTGGTGGTGGACATGCCCACCGGTACCAGCTCCAGCTTGCCCCTCCAGAGGCACAGGGCGTCCTTTGGGGGAACATGGTCGTCATCCTCCCTGGATAGCCCCCCAGCCTCCAGGACCAATGCCATGGGTGGTCTCGTCCGAGGACCCAGAGTCTATGTAGGGATGGTGCCCAGTGGGTACACAGGTGGCCTGGGCACCCGCGTGACACGCCGGGCCCTGGGCATCAGCAGTGTTTTCCTGCAGGGCCTGCGGAGCTCAGGTCTGGCCACAGCACCAGCTCCAGGCCTGGAGAGGAACCTCGGTGCCGTTGAGGACCTGGGGGGTTGCCTGGTGGAATACATGGCCAAGGTTCATGCCCTCGAGAACGTCAGCCAGGAGCTGGAGGCACAACTGCGCGTGCACCTGGAGAGCAAGGCCACGCGCTCCGAAAGTTGGGGTGCCCTCAGGGCTTCCTGGGCCAGCAGCTGCCAACAGGTGAGTACGTGGGCTATGCCCAAGGGCTTTGTGTAGGGCCAAGAGAGGATGCTCACAGCTGCCTGGGGGGTCATCATCAGAGAGCAAGGATGCTGAGGCAGGGGCAGGGGAGTGAATGGTCTCAGGCCAAAGAAACTGACCATAGCCTCTTACTCTTTCATGCTCGGAAATACTGATGACAATGATAACAATGACAGTCACCATTTACTGAGGTAGAATAAGAGCCAGGTCCATAGGAGTCCCTGTACATGCACTGTCTCCTGTGTTCAAAGCAGTGCTAGGCAGGGACTTATTCACTGACTGCATTTTTCAGATGAGAAAACTGAGGCACAAAGAAATTAAGTAATTTGTCCAGATCATGCAGCCCATAGGGAAGCTGAGCTTTGAGCCCAAATTGTTCCAGTTCCAAAGCTTGCATTCATCCCATTAGCCTGGGCTGACTCTGTACCCTTTGTATTAAGCAAGAGTTTTTACAGACATCATCAAATGGAACACCATCGAATGGATATGGCATTAAAAACAATGGATAAATGGGGGTGTGTTCCTGTATTCATCGACTACAGCACTGTCCAATAGAAATAGGAGCCACGGGGTAATTAAAAAGTTTCCATTACCCACAGTAAAAAAAAAAAAAAGTAAAAAAGAAACAGGTAAAGTTAATATTAGCGTATCTTATTTAACTCAGTATATTTTAAATGTTATTTCAACATGTAGTCAATATTTAAAATATTAATGAAATAATTTACACTGAAATAGAACTTTCTGCCATGATTGAAATGTCCTATACCCACACTGTCCAGTCTGGTAGCCACTAGCCACATATGGCTATTGAGCACGTGAAATGTGGCTAATAAGATAAGGAATTGAATTTTTATTTTTATGTTTATTTTATTTTATTTTATTTTATTTTATTTTATTTTATTTAAATGTAAATATGGGCTCCTGGGTGGCTCAGTCAGTTGAGCATCTGACTCTTGACTTCAACTCAGGTTGTGATCCCAGGGTTATGAGATCAAGCCCCAGGTCAGGCTCAGTGCTGAGTGTGGAGCCTGCTTAAGATTCTCTCTCTCTCTCTCTCTCTCTCTCTCTCTCTCTCTCTCTCTCTCTCTCCCCCTCTGCCCTGTGTGTGCTCTTTCTTTCTATATAAATTAATAATAATAATAATAATTGATTTAAATAGCCACATGTGGCCAGTGGCTATCTCATGGGACAGGGCAGGACACAGAGGTTTCATCATTCCCCCTTGCTTGGTCAGGATGTGCTCTCCAGGCTGATTGCTGCAGAATGCTGAGCTCATCTGTCACGTCTGGCCGGCGGCCTATGGTTCTACCACTGGGACTCCAGCCAGCATTGCATATCTCATCAGGTCTCTGTGGGTGGCTCTTTCTTGTCCCTTCCCTCCCCCACCTCCACCTGACAAAGGCTGGCCTTAGGATCCCTCTGAACTAGATCAGCCTCCAACTCAGCTAGGAACTGCCCTTGTACCCTGGGGCCCAGCACGCAGTCCCCTGAGAGGAGGTCACAAGCCTCCATTTGTGTGTGACTGGGTGATGCAGAGCAGGAACACTGAGAGGCTCCCCATTCCCTGCCTGCCTCCCATTTCATCCCAGGATGTTTCTCCTTCATGGGCTAGGCAATCAGTGCCCGGCTGTCAGCTCAGTATGTGTGATGTGCAATACTGTCCTCTTGGCTTTCCTCTGGAGCCGTTGTCCTGCTTGCATCGATCTGGGCTGTGAGAGAAAGCCAACTTAAGAGCAGCTTGGGGCTTAAAGCTGTCAAATCTAAGACAGCCATCCCTCCCAGATCCTCCCTGGCAGCCCTGAGTCCAAATATTTGTGTCCTATAAACCACCAGGCTGTCCCCAGATATTCCAATATTTCAGCATGTGCAGGACAATTTCTCATATTCAGATGCCACACAGGCTTTTCATGAGAAGTCAGGCATCCTGATTTCTAAGTCAGAAAGTGTAGCCACAAAACATAGTCCATATTCAACTGTAGCTAGCTACAGGAGATTGGGCAACTTACTCAACTTCTCTATGCATCATTGGCCTTATCCGTAAAATGGGTCTAATGCTGTGGCTATTACAGCGAATCCATAGATATGTAAGTTGCATGGTTCCTGCCTGCAGGTAGACTACAGGTCAGAAAGCTACACCATGACAGCAGCACAGCCACAGGGCTGCCAAAGCAAAGGCTGGATGCCAAGACATTCAGCCCTGACACTGGTGGTCATTTTCCTCTTAAATGACCATAACTGGGGCACCTGGGTGGCTCAGTTGGTTGAGAGACCAACTTCAGCTCAGGTCATGATCTCATGGTTTGTGAGTTCGAGCCCCACGTTGGGCTCTGTGCTGACAGCTCGGATCCTGGAGCCTGCTTCAGATTCTGTCTCTCTCTCTCTCTCTCTCTCTCTCTCTCTCTCTGCCCCTCCCCCACTCACACTCTGTCTCTCTCTGTCTCAGAAATAAATAAACATTAAATGACCATAAGTGAGATCCTTCATATGACTACAGAGTTCTCTTTTTCTTCCTTTTTTTAAAGCATGAACTTGAAGATACAGTTAGACCAACCTGTAAAATGAAGTTATTTCTGTATCACACAGCCCAGCCTTCCAGCCATATTAAGCTCTGTTCCGCCACAAAGAACCAAAGAAAATTCTACATATGCACATTAATTTTCCTTTGTTGCAGTTACAAAGCTGACCCACGCTTTCTACCCCTCCAGGCTTCAACATAAAGCTTTAAGATGGCTTTGCTGATGCCTGCTCTCCTTCCTGGTGTTCTCTACCAGTCACCAGCATCATCTTTTGGACATATGGGATCTGACTGTATTATGTCCCTGCCCAACACCTTTCTGGACTCCTCATCACTGTCAGGACACAATCCATGACTCTGGGCTCAGTCCCCAAAGCCCTCATGAAGCCACATCTCTGTCCCAGCCATGCCACCCACCTAAGAGACCCTGAACACAACTGCATGTCCTCAGCCTGCTCCTTTGTGATGCTCCCCCTGTTCCTTCTGTGATCTCATGACAGCCTCTACACACATCCACGGTGGTAGTTAGTTACCATGTTGTCCTGTGGTCCCTTGCTTGGCCGTGCCCTCGCACTCTTGGCCACTTAGGAAGAACCAGCTCTCCCCACCAGTGGAAAGACTGGAAAGAGCTTAAACTAGTTCAGCTTACAGTGAACTTACATTTGGATGTGGGCTCTGCCACCTGCTCACTGGGTGCCTTTGGGTCAGTTACTTAACTTCTCTCAACTTGTCTCCTCAGTTGCCATTTGGGGATTACTTTATCTACTGAGGAGAACTGTTAAGGGGGTTAACTGAATGTTACGGACCCAGTAAAATTAGTGACTAACAGCTTAGAGAGACTGCTTCACTCACAGCATTGCAGCTACCTGGAGCCATGTACAGGATTGATGCTCAACCGTGAGTGGGGCCCCGCTTCAAATCCTGATTCTGCCACTTACGTGGACCAGCCATTCCTTTGCTCTATGTCCCCCTTTCACTATCTATAAAATGAATGAGCACTTCCCAGGGTCCCTGTGTGCATGAGATGAAATAAGATGCAAAAAGGTGCATTGGGAACTGTGAAGTACAGTACGCAGGCAGCAGGCCATCCTGAGTCAGAACACTCTACCCCAGTACCCTGAGAGCTGAGCCTCAGACCAAGGGACTCGCCTCTGGAGGCCATGGCCCCCCTTCAGGGCCTTAGCTGGATCCTTTCTTCCTTTCTCCACCCCAAGAGTCCTCTTCACCCAACAGCCGTGCAATGATAGCTCCTTCCCAAGCCCTATCTGTCCTCAAACGGCAGGCCCAACTTCTGGCTACTCAGAAACCCAACTTCTGGCTAATCAGAGACAAAGCCTTTCCCACTGGGGAATGGGGGCCCCCACTGCCTTCCAGGGTGCTTTGTCATGGAGCCCTAGACCCACCAACCAGCCAGTTCCCATAGAACTGCAAGAGGGGCCCACCCCAACCAGGGCCCCTAACCTCTTCCAGGCCTAGAGAACAGACTACCAGAAATTCATTTATTTCAGAAAGTGCTGCCTTCCCCTCACACAGGCTTCAGAGGCAGCCATGCCATGCTAAGAGTGTCTGGGCTCCGAGAATCCAAAGCTCTCAGCTGCTCAGTCCTGCGACCCTGGGAACCCCAGGCCCCCACCCACCACCAACTCCAGTTAGGGCCTCGTCACAGGCTCAGGGAGGGGCGGGTTGCTTCCTGGGTGTGGCACAGAACCAGGAATGGCAGCACCACACTGCATCTAGAAGGCAGCTAGAGGGGAAGGGCGAGCCTCTTGTCTACCCTTGACCCAGGCACCTGCAGGGCCACACTGAAGTTCAATCCTCCTAGCGTTGCCTATCCTCCATGGGTCAGAGTGGCCGGTCTGTGGGAAAGGCAGATGCCAGGCAGGGAAGGAAGGCTAACCAAGCAGTTGGCATACCACACAGTGCCCCAAATAGTGGGGCAGGGCCCCCAGGGAGCCTAGAAGAGTTTGCATTTGCCCCCTTAAGTACCCTTGTGTCTGAGGATGTGCAAGATTAACTAGCAAAAATTACCATGACAAGACAAGAGAAAAACCACAGAGTTTTATATTTTGCCACCATTATTTATTTATTTTATATTTTACCACCTTTCAAAGCACTTTACCCCCTGCCTTTGGAACAAAGAGCTCCATGTTTTCCTTTTGCACGAGGACCCATAAATCACATAGCCAATCCTGCTAGGGTTAATGTATACAAAGTCCCTTTTCACTTCCAAACCTCTCTCTCCCCACTCCTCAGTTATATTAGAAACTCAGCCACTTCTGCTAAGCAGTAAAAACAGGAAAACTCTCAGGTGATGGCCCCAGAGGCCAAAGAGGGCACAGTCCCTGCCCATTGCTTGGGCAAAAACTGACTCTTTTCCTGTCCTGCTTTGCCGAGTGCTCCCACCTTCTCTTGCCAAGTGAATGGTGCTCATAATAAGTTCTGGCAGCAATGTCAGACCCTTTCATCTTCAAATAGGCCAAACACAAGCTTGGAATTAGGCAGCCTCCCTGTCTCAGAGCTGCAGAGAAAAGGAGACTGGGACAGAAGAGATGCAGCCATGGAGGCAGAGTCTCAGAGCACAGGGAGCAAGCCAAGGCCAAGGCCAGAGAGATGCTGCCTGGGAAAGAAAGGGGAACGTGGAGGCTTCAGTTTCCACTGAAATTATTGGTCTCCGTGGGAGAAAACAGCAGCTTACACCTCACACAGCAAAGGTTGTTAGCTGGAAGAAAGGGGAAATCAAAATCATTAAAAAGCAAGAGAATTAGAATTTAAAATGAACCTGATTTGAATATTTTTCCTGCCTTTCACAGTTCCTCTTTCTGTCCTTGCAAAGAGAGACCCATACTCTGGGGATCTGCCTATTTGGGGAAACTGCTGGAAACTTAGCCAATCCAGGTGAGGGCCAGTTTCTCTCCCCACAGAACCTGTGGTCCTAACAGGGTTTTTTGGTTTTGTTTTAAAAGAAAAAGAAACAAGAACTAACCCCCCAGCCCCAGCCCCCAGTGCCCCTGAATAAGAAGGCCATAAGATCATTGCTCATGATTCACAACCTGGTGTCCCTGAAAGGGGGAGGGAGAAAGAACCCTGAGCTATTTTAGTATCTGCAACACCCTGCATAAATTTACCCAAGATAAACCACCCCATCTCTTCTGAGTACTGTACATGTACTTTGGTCAGAGGAGGCCAGTAAGTTAACTACTTTGTTAGCCAAGTTATAAAGGACACTAAAGTATCATTAGAAATGTTACTTTATGGAGAAAAAAATGTATTTAGGAGAATTCCTCTCAGGGAGAGTGACATATAAGAGTGGAAGAAATCTTTGGAGGGAGCAGAGGCAGGGAAGGAGGCATGAGGCTTCCCCCAAGGGTCTTGGTCCAGTAATATAGGCAGTCACCAAACTGCTAAGAAGGGTAGTTTCTGATTTCCTGGGGGTTCTAGCTTTGCTAAGTAGAGGATATCTGTGCAGAAGCAAAACTCTGCTACAGAATACAGGGGGGAGAAGGAGTCCTGTCATTGGAGGCTCATTGTCAAATCTCATAAGATCTCTTAAAATGCGCCAGCCATGTTGAAGAGTAGAGGACTGGGCTGTCCCAGTGACGAAAAATAGGGGATGGGCTACAAAGACTGACAGCAAATTCTTCACTGATCTTGCTACATCTTGATTTCTCACCTGAACAATAAGGATAATTGGAGACTTTCTTGACATGATAAAATAGCTAAGAAAGAAATACAAGAGGACTTCCTATAGAAATTAAGAATAAGATAAGGATGCCCACTATCTTTACTGTTATGGAACACTGGTCAGAGGTCACAGTTAATGCCACACAAGAGAAAGCAATTGGAGGTATAAGGATTGGAAAGAAAGAAGGAAAATGCTGGTCTTTCTGGAAAGCCCAAAAGGATCCACATGAAAACTGTACAATAGAAAATAAGTTAATTTAGGAAAGTAGCAGATTATACACATTAAAGATATATGCTAAATATATATATATACGCACACATAGACATATGTTTATTTCACATATAAATGGCTGCCATCTCATTTATGATAGCAAAAGTTAAAATAACTCTAAATAAACTTAACAACAAATGTCCAAAATGTATATGGAGACAATAATAAACCTCTCTTGAAAGGCATAAACGGAAACAAAGACCATGTGCTTGAATATAAAGACTCAAGAAAAATGTCAGTTCTCCCTAAGTTAATTTACATATTTAATGCAATCCTAATTTTACAATATCATAGGGGTTGTTTTTTTTTTTTTTTTTAACTACAATGGCTTATTGTAAATTTCATTTGTAAAAACACAAAGGCAAGAGGGGCACCTGGGTGGCTCGGTTGGGCATCCAACTTCGGCTCAGGTCATGATCTCACCGTCTGTGAGTTCGAGCCCTGTGTCCGGCTGTGTGCTGACACCTCAGAGCCTGGAGGCTGCTTCGGATTCTGTGTCTCCCTCTCTTGCTCTGCTCCTCCCCCGTTCATACTGTCTGTGTCTCTCTCAAGAATAAATAAAACATTAAAAAATAATTTTTTAAACATAAAGGCAAGCATAGCCAAAAAGAAAAACTGAAAGAGGAGAGAAGGAGGGAAACGTCAGCTCTCCCAAACATTGAAATATACTAGAATCTCATTCACAAAGCAGTTCCATACTGGCCCATAAAAGATAAGAAGACCAGTGGAACAAAATATAAAATTCAAAAGTCGGCCCTGCTACATACAGAAATTTAGTATTGATAAATGCACTGTTTGAATCTAATGGAGGAAATGATGGATTTTTTAATAAATGGTATTCAGACAACTAGATAGTCATAAGGAAAATAAAATTGGATCCATCCTTCACTGTTCCCTAAATCAATTCCAAATATATCCCATTTGGATACATTTTTTAAATGTAAAAAAAGGAAGCCATACAAGTAGAAAGCATGGGTGAATTCCTTTATAACCTGGGTGTGGAAGAAGTCTTCCTTGATATAATTCAAAATCTAAAAGCAATAAAGGAAAATACTTTATTTATTTATTTATTTATTTTATACTTTATTTTTTTATACTTTATTTTTTTACTTTTATACTTTTTTATTTTATACTTTATTTTTTTATACTTTATTTATTTTATATTTATTAAAATACTTAATTTTATTACCAAAAAAGTTTAAATTTTGCATCACAAAATAACACCATAAGCAAAACTAAAAGATAAATGACAAACTATAAAAAAGTATTTGCAACTTTGAATTCAAAGGATTAATACCTCTATTCTATAAACAGCATTTAGAATTTGAGGTTTTAAAATAAAAGGCAACAATGTGCTTACTGCTACATAGGCTGGAGACACAAATGGAGAGTTGACATGAAAATAAATGAAAATGGCTCTAACCACGTAAAAGGATGTTCAACTTCACCCATGATAAAAGAAATACGAACAAAACAAATTAAAAACTTACCTGAGATATCCTTTTCACTTATCAGATTGGCAAAACTCCAAAAGCGTGTCAATCTATTTTGTTGGTGAAGTGCTAGGGAAGCAGCCAATTCCACACAACGCTGATGGGAATAGAATGTTAGAATGCCTATGGAGAAGAACTTGGCAATATCTAGACAAACTATATATGCATTTATGTGATTTAATCCAGCAATCCCACTTCTAGGAATCTCTCCTGATGATACCCTGGCAAACACATGAACAAGAAGTACGCACAAGGTTGTTCATTTCAATCATAGCTATAATGGCAAGAGACTGGAAAAAACCCCAATACTTAGCAATAGGGGACGAGCTGAATAAGCAATGATACATCCACAAAAGGAATGAGGAAGAGCTCTATAAGTATTATGGAGTGATGATCTCCAAGATGTATTGTTGAGTTAAAAAGCAAGGTGGAGATAGTGTGTATTTCATTCTACCATTTATCTAAGGAAGAGGAAGATATATGAACATATACATACATATTCACTTGTAATTGAAAATAAAAACCACAGTGTTTTTAAATGATCATTTATAGGAGAATGGAGGGAGTAGGGTAGAGGGAAAAGGAATAGGCACTAGAATTCTTTTAATTTATCTTGTTATGTGGAGATGACTTTGGAACCATGAAAGTATTTTTGCGGAATTATAAAAGTGACTTTTATACTAAAGTAATTTGCACATCCCTAGTGGGATGCAAAGAGTACTGAAAAAAAATCTTATTAAATCATTTTCAGTAATGATATTGTTCATACTGTTATTCTGACACTGGTGTGTGTGTGTGTGTGTGTGTGTGTGTGTGTGTTGTACTGTGGGATGAAGCAAAAGAGTAATTCTATTTGTGTCATTGAGATCTGAGACTTTTAGTATGGATAAATGGAGACACACTTGTAAGGCAGATAAAGTTTAGTGACAATTCTCTAGTCCTGAATTTGAATTGAAATTATCCATTTAAAATCATGGTGTATGTGGTCCCAAAATAAATATATACCCATTTACTAACTCTGGCCAGTGAAAAGACCTAGAAACAATTGTCAACCCACTAGCAATGAGTATTTTTAGCCTCTGATTTGGATCACTAAGTACCATCTTTCATTACAAGAACTGAGCCTCCTTAGTTAGAGAAATGGCTGAATCCAGGTTTGGGAACAGGAAGTGTAAGAGATGAATCTGAAACCTCTTATCATACCAAAACCAAGGAAGCTATAAAGAACTGCTAGAGTCATGTGAAAAGACTTAGGAGACAATTTGAATAAGCTCCCACTAAACAAAGATGACTACATATCAATAAGAATATTAACCACAAGGCATTGAGACACATCAAGTATGTTTAAATCTATGAGTTCAATATAATACAAAAAAAAAAAAATCCCACTTATTAGTTGTGTTGGAGTCCACTGGGAACCAACTCATTACTTTGAAACCTGGTAAATAACTAGAAAGAATTAGTCATTTTTCCTACCTTTCCTATAAGAACTGTAGATCCATCAGCATTAACAAAAAAAAAAAAAAAAGAAGAATTGAAGAGAGTAATTATCTTTTTTTAGAAATAATACAGCTAAAAAATAAATAATAATGTAACTATTAACATTTTATTTATATTTATAACTAATAGTAATCATTAAAATAGAATTCAAATATCACCACTTTGCAAACATAATTTAAAAAATGGATCTAGGCAATAACAATCATCAAATGGCTGCTAATATCACAAAACGAGAAACCAGCAGACAGGTACCCCCCAGTAGAGTACACAACATCACCTATGATATAGTCTTGCCAGAAAAGAAAAAGAAAACTGAATGTGATTACGCTTCAAAATAAAACTACGAATTTACAGAAAATGCAGAGGTCAGATGAACATGTTTATTGGCACCCACTGCGATGAAATCAGCAAAACACAGACTGGGGAAACTATAGAACTAAACACCCAATGTTTTCAACAAGAAAACGCTGCAAGGAGCAAAAAGGGAGATGAGGTAGAGCTATACATTAAAAGAGATTAAACTGACATATCACCCCACTAAAATGGACATTATTTGAACCACTATCCAAACAAACTAAAAATTAGACAATTGAGGAAAGATGAACTGGGTATTTGAGGAATTGTTATTAATATTTAGATGTCATTTTTAGATGTTTTTAGAAGTTATTTTTAAAGCATTTTTATAATTTAACACTACATACTGAAATATATGAAGAAGAAATAATGATATCTGGAATTTGTTCAAAAGAATATGAAGTGTAGTAGGAATGTGAGGGGATATAGGGAAAACAAAATAGGCCATGCATTTATAATCATTGGAGCTGGATGACGGGTATATGGATGAAATA